GACAGCATAGATTCTTAGGTAGAAAATACAAGTAAAATATGGCAAAATATTCTTGGCTGGTGAAATATAGAAAGAATACAGTATTTTAAAAATAAAACAAAACTGGTCCTCCTGAGTGGCGCAGAGGGTTAAAGCACAGCACTAAGAAGCTTAAGCCACTTCTGCATGAGTTCGATCCCTGCCTGCCCAGGAGGAGACCACATGGCATGGCAGACCTCTCCCGACCCGCTCACTGCTTCCCTCAGCAGTGTACTTCGTCGATCTGCCTGTTCTGCTCCCCACTCTGTCCCTGGTGAATCCTCTCACCCTCTGGCCTGTACTCCAGTTCTGTATGAATAAATAAATCTTTAAAAAAAAACAACTAAATCCCAAACTGTAGGGTGCATTGGTTCTAAAAGGTGAAGAAACAAAGGTTTGACCATTTCTTTAGAAGAGATTCAATAAGATGAAATTTGAAATACTGTCAAGTTGGCAAAGTAAGGAGAAAGTATATTCAATAATGGAGGAATAAATGTATATGCTTTTAAAATGCTATTGATCACTGGTTCTTGATAGGTCTTACCAGTGTCATTTCTTTCTCTTAAATATCTTCATTTCTACTTCTGCCCGCACCTTTAGATTTAGGAAACTTACCTATTGATCTGAGGTAGAACCTTTTGGATTTTCCTATAAACAGGAACTAAACATCTTACAAGGGGAAGAGGAGAATTTAGTTTTAAGTGGTGTTGAACCATGGTTACAGTGGGTATAGTGTAAGAGAAAATTAGATAGAATCTAGTACCTGGATCAAAACATGTTGATAAACACAAATTCTCATGAAGATCCCAAACAAGGATGAGGTGTAACAACTGTAAAGAGAGGGTGTGCATTGAGGCTTTATCTTAGAACCTAATAACCTGTTAGCTTTTCAGTACCCATTGATTTCTCTTTGGTCCTGGGATGGCCTCTTCAAACCACTTTACTAACAATGGTCACAGCGTGTAAGAGCAGAATAGGTTTAACCTGATAGGTTTAAGAGCTCAGCTTTGTTTTGCTTCTGTTCTTAACAAAAGCTTCTTCTTTGTTTAGCCTCCCAAATCAGTGTTACTTGCCATTATGCAGAAATACATTAATTTTGAAACGAAATAAAGTATGTACCTTTGAAGAACAAAATAAAAACCATACACATAAACACACTCATCACAATGAAATGGACATTGCCCTGTTCCTTCTTCCATATGTGTCAGAGTTATAGCCAACACCTGTGGCCACACAAGGGGCAGGCTTGGCAGCTGTAGAATCCAGATGTCAGACACTGGATTGTGTGTCCCTGGCAGCAGTCCTAAGTGGGAGGCCGTCTCCTTAACTGACCTCTGAAATGGTCTATTGTTTGACTCCCTCCTTGCCTGGGGTAGTAAGGAACTCGTTGTCTGTAGGTCTGGTTCACAGTTAACTTACTAATGGGTTGTTCTGGATGCAATTATCCATTACCTTACCTTTGACTGTGAGAAATTTATTTCCTTTGTATGGATGAAAATTGGGACTTGGCAAATTTTTGACAAAGAACCATTTTCAGGTTTCTTCCAAGGACAGAATAAGATGCTTTTGGCTTTTTTTTTTTCTTAACTAACTGAAATTGGGTGAGGTTATTTATTTTAGCACATAGTAAGTTTTGATTAATGAGAAGTTAAACAAATTTTTTTCTTGGGCACCTCCCCCATTGAAAGGAGACTGAATTTTTTTTTTTTTACTGCTTCTAAAACCACTTCTTACAGGTTGAAAGTTAGACATTTTCTTCAGAAACTTAAGAGCTACACTTTTGTTTTTTTCTATTACAAAAAAAATGGTCTCATCTATTGAGGAAAACTCCTCAATATCATGAGTTATTTTGGTTCAGAAAATGATTACAACATTACGTTGGCTCCATGTCATTGGCTGAATAATTGACATCATGTGGGAGATGCAATCTTTATGGCAGTGAGATAGGAAAAGGCCAGGTTTCAGAGTGGGCTCTCGTGCTGCAACACTCCTAATTCTACAGTGAAGGTCTACTATGCATAGTTAATAGGCATTGTACTTTAAGGAGAAACATAGTTAACATTTATAGTAAGATGAACTGAGGAAATTATATATTATCATAGGCACCATGAAAGATGTTCCACATTTCCCTTATTAACTTTTATGAAAATGTCAGTTGGCCATTTCTGCTAATTTATATTTAGGATAAACTCATGAGTCCCAGGATAAATATAGATCAACAAATAATACATAAGACCTATTACTCACTTGGAAGAATTCCACCTAATTCATGTAGCAATTCATCCCTGAAGGAGGTGGAACTTAACCCCCCCCCATACCCCACCCCCAACAAATGTGGGCTGTGCTGTTTGATTTAATTCCAAAGACTGGACTATTGTAAGAAGGGAGTGGACAGGAGACTGAGCTGCAATGGGAAAGCCTGGTGAATGTTAGACTAGATGGGATGCTGAAAGAAAAGAGGGGCCTTAGAATCTGAAGAAACTGTGGACTTTAATTAATAGTAATATACTAATGTTGACTCCTTAATTACCACAAATATACTATAAAGTCAGAAGTTAATAATAGGGGAAATTGGGTAAGGGATATATGAGAATTTTGCACTAATCTCGTAACTTTCGTAATTCAAAAACTTCCTTTAAAAAGTTTACATACATTTAAAACAGGCTAATTAAAATATTGTATTGAGTGTAACCATTTCTGTTACAATATATCCTGTTCTTCCCATGCAGGCTTATTCACCACACCATATGGCACAGTCATTTTCCTGACATATAAGAATACCTTATCTTTCAAGCCAAGGTAGTACGAATGTGACCAGAGCTAATTTGAGTTTTTAATTTCCCAGTAATAATTAGGTCATGCCCAAATTAGTAAAACACAAATGCTCAAAATAATGTTCATAAACCAATATTTTCAACAGTTTAAAAGATGTTACATTCTTCAACTACCTACCCAATACACACATTTCATGTGATTGGAGTTAATGATGTAATTAATAAGAGAATATATTAATCTCTGAAAGTAACATTCATTGCTAGTTTTCTGTGTTAGGGGGCTATGTTCATTGATTGATCAGTTGTTAAAATTGGAAGGGGCAAAGTCTGAGATACCAACTATTTTAGAACATGGATGAAATGCCTGTTCTTTAAGGTTATATGAAATCAGATCTGGGAATTCAGTTAAGAGATTTCCTTCATAATCTTTGTAATTTATCATTTCATTTTGAGAAATAGATGAAAATGTTGTTGTTAATGAATGTTTGCTTGGGGAAAAAAAACCTATTGTGGGTTTCCAGAATGGCTTAACTAGAAAGGTGGTTTTGTTAATATTTAGTTGTATACTCTTAAAAATCGTTAAACAAAATATAACTAGAATAATAAATTAGAATTACCTCTGTTTTTTGAAAAGGATGAAAATAGCATTAAAAACAGTTGAAATAAAATGTATGAAACTTCCTAAATATATTTTAGGGTTAAAAATAAGATTCAGGGGCCCTCCCTGATGGCACAGCTGGTTAAAGCACAGCACTAAGAAGCTAAAGCTACTTCAGCATGAGTTTGATCCCCACCCCAGAGGTGACCTACATGGCATGGCATTCCCTCAGCAGTGGGCTTCATCAGTCTTCCTGTTCTGCCCCCTACTCTGTCTCTGGTGAATCCTCTCACTGCCCCTGCACCTCTGGCGTGTACCCCCATTCTGTATACATTCTGTGTGTGGGTAGGTCAGGAGAGGTCTGCTGCGCCATGTGGGTCAGCTCCCTGGTGGGGATCGAACTCATGCTGCAGTGGCTTTGGAGAGCTTCATAATGGCGGTGCTTCAACCCATTGTGCCACCAGGGAGAGCCCAGGAATATTTTTCATGGTGATATATTTAATGCAGAAAAAATGGCCAGAGGGAGCTACAGTAGATGCACGTTTATTATTTTTTATGTACTCTAAATATGTTTTATATTTCATTAAACTATCATATGAGTGCTTAGTAATGAGAGTTATACCAACTCCACTTCCCAGAACATCTATGGTATGTCTGGCAAACCTTGCAAAGTACATACAATTACTATTTCACAAGTAAGGGAATGGTAGACAGTGCAAGTTAGGGGACTGACTCAAAGTCCCATAGCCTGTATGTGAGGAAGGAAACTGGCTGGCTGCCTCTAGTGTCTGAATTCTTTCTCACCACAGCTTTGTTGTAATTGTATTATACACACCTTTAAAGTTAATTTTTATTTATTACTAGGTAACGTGGTAACGTAAGTCATTTAACCTTTTTTTTTTTTTTATTCACATGGAACAGGGGTACAGGCCAGAGATGTGGAGGGTGGGAGGATTCACCAGAGACAGAGAGGGGAACAGAACAGGCAGATCGGCGATGTACACTGCTGAGGGGAGCAGCGGGCGGGTCAGGAGAGGTCTGCCACGCCATGTGGTCTCCCTCCAAGGCGGGGATCGAACTCATGCGGAAGTGGCATTAGCTTCTTAGTGCTGTGCTTCAACTCGCTGCGCCACCAGAGAGGGCCCTTTTAACCTTTTTGACTTTAATTTTCTCTCATGTAAAATGAAGTTGACTGGATGATTTTTTTCAGTTTTAAAATAATAACAAATTTATATAGAGGATAAGAAGACTAAGATGGTTGTTTTCACAAGGTTTTTGTTAAAAATAGGTCAGTACAATACCTATTACTGAATTTTGTGATGCTGGGGGAGCTAGCTAGAATCTTCATGTGATTTCTCTCAAATTTCTCAAGTTCTATTAATCAGTATTAGTGATCTTGCCATTTTAACATTATTGCTTAAAAACTTTATATAAAACCACATTTCATATTTTTCTCCATACGGTATAAACTACATACTTAAATTGTCTCTCAAAGAATCATAACTTGCATGCAGTAAACAATAATTCAAAAAAAGCCATTTTTTTGATCTGAAAATAATGTTTAATTCACATTTATTTAAATATAACATTTTTTTGGTAGACAACTTACAAGTACCTTTACAACATGGCAGGCATAAATATAATAAATGTGTAAGTATTTTTACAAAAATTAACACATATTAGATAAATTGATGGCATATACAATTGGCGTTAAGGGAATATTAACATGGTATGAAAAGGATGTGATTTCACAGAAACTTCTATAAAATGTTCACATTTGCCTCAGTAATAAAGACATATTTCCTGAACTGATATTTTAGGAAAACTATTTAAAAAGCTAATCATTCACCTCATATGGTAACATCATTTGTAAATGAAGTACATTTTTGTCAATAAGTGTTCTTTAATTTTTAAATATGTAGCATTTTTATCAAGACCACGTCACATTATTAAACATCTATACGACATTAAAGACTGAATAATTCATGTACTTTTATGCACAGTGTTTAGTTTGGCTATTGCACTCTATATCTTTGTGAAAAATATACTTCAACTTGGCACAGAATTCATGAAGTGTACTGCTCCTAGTCAATACAAATATAATTTAAATTTTCCATCACGTAGAAAATACTCTATCAAAATTTGCTTCTTCCCTTTATAGCTTATTGACCAGTGGCAGTTCTTTTCTGTTTTCATTGAAATAAATAAATGGATATTAAAAAAAAGTCATGCAGGTGTTTTGCCTGCACTCTAATTGGAAATGATTAGATTTCAGTTTTTCTAGCAGTAAAACATTTCCATCTGTATTGAAGCCAATAAATTTCTAAATAAGTGTGTTATCAGCAATAATGAGTATCATTGTGAGATGTTTTTCTTTAGAAGGCAGAGAGGTTGAAAGAAAATGTGGATCTCTTCATAAACTGGAACATATGTGGTGAGGAAAGCAAATGCCAACTGAGGCAGAAACAGGGGAAGTTCTTTGGAAAGCTGGTGAGCATTCACTCGCCTGAGTAGCAGCAAGGCAGAAAACGCAGGCAAGGACATGGGAACAGTCCAGGTGCAGAGGGCTGCCATCATGGGTTTGGGGGAACTAAAATTTATCACTCAAACCAAAAAGCATCAAGAGCAACAGTTCAAGCACCCTTATATCATCAAACTACCGTTGCTTTTTAAGGGAAGTCTTAAATTTCCACATTCATGGTCTACATCAGGACTGAAAAGTTTAGACTACCTTCCCTTTCTCCATGCCCCCAAATTCATTCATACACGATGTGGAAGGAAAAAGGGAGTAACAGTAAAGTCTCTTCCAAACCAAAGAGGAGTATTCACTCTAAGCAGACTTCTAAGGTAACCAAGAAAAATACCACAGTTTTTTTTCATAGTTCTTCTAAAATGAATGTGAGATGTTGTATTTTGAAAGCATCTACTCCTTTCATAAAACTTTGATAGCCTAATTTTTATATTTATTATTATGAGGGGAAAAAAGTAAAACTGACATTTCTTTTTTATATAAATATACTATATTCTAAAAAATAGAGCAATGAACATACTGTTATTTTCATTGTTTATGCTCATTGCTTTTCTGAGAGCCTTTAAACAGTGAAATGACAAAGAACATCAAACAGCTTAAACAAAGGAAGCCAACTTTTCCCCTACCCCGGTAAGGTGTCAACAGATTATGAGTCATAGAGCACTGAATTTTCAAGAGTGAAATCATACCAAAACCGTGATAAGTTTTCGCTGACATCATAGGAGAGTAGGTGGTCTGGAAGGTCCCCGATGGTGCCCTGCACAGCCAGCACGTGTGGGGCCAAGGTGAAGGGGACGTCACTTAGGAGCTCGGTCATTAAGGCACTGTTGTCCGGGGTCTGGCCACACTTATTTTCCGTCTTGGGGCCTGCTGCCACCATGTTGGATGAGTTTTCTTTGCTGGTCTGCAAATACATATTATGTTCCAATCACTTGGACCATACGGACTTGGAGGTTTAGTAACTGCAAATGTGGCATGAATACGGCAAAGTAATTGAGAGATGTGGAATATATAAAATATTCTCAGATTAGAATACAGCTATTTTCTTGAGGGATAAGTCTATCCAAATCTGTCAGGTTTTCAAATGGAGCCTAAGCCCTTTTCTCACTCACAGAGACCATACAGAGCCCCCTCAAATTCAAGTAGGGTTCTGGCTACTTCCCTAGCTCAGGCAAAGTTTACAAGGTCTGTCTCTGCTTGTTGACATGCATTGTATGCTTTCAGGCTCTGCTGAATTACCACTCCCTGCCCATGACGACATCACTGTGGTCCAGAGTAACTTGAGATTGATTGGGGGCAAATTACTTAGGCTATTATTTGGCATTTCCTATATGCATCTTGGCCAATTGCTGTTTCATATGTCCATATCTGTCTTATAACCAACTGAACTCGGGTCCTTGAAGGCAAGCAATCTACTGGACATCACTATGTTCCCTGCTCTGGTACCTTGCTGCTCTACTCTAGTATGTACAGGACAATTTTTTTTTTTCTTGTGGCTACCATGAATTCTGATTGATTGCTTGACTTTCACTAACACAATCATGTTCTGTTACGTAAGTTATTCGAAGGAGAATTGTTCAATTTCATTAATATTGGTATATCTTTCATACACCCTTTTACCAAAAGACCAGTGCTAGAGTCTTCATACAGCACTCAATGCAAGTCCCAAACAGGCAACTACCTAAGTCAGCATCCATCAGTTACAGAATGGTAATCAGTACATGTATGGCAATGAGAATAAATGACTTGCCACTCCAAGCAACTAAGACATAAACCAATTCGGTAAACATTTACTCCTTTACCATCACCAAGAATTCTGAAGAATAAAACTGTGGCGTCTTTAACAGAGCCCTGCAGGCCTCCCCTCCCCCACCAGCTCATCTGTCCTGGCTCACTCACTGATCTCCAGCCCCACTGGCTCCGTGCTGCTACTTAAGCACAACCAACCTGCTTCTGCTTCAAGCCTTCACTTTCTGGACCCTTCATGTAGGAAGTTCATCTGCCAGATAGACCTGCGGCTCCTTCCCTTGCCTGCTTCCAGGTGTGATGGCCCAAACGTGACTTCTCAGTGAGGCCTTTCCTGACTGCTTAATCTGCATGCCTCCCTGTCACCTTCTGCACCCCAGGGTCCCTGTCTCCTTCCCCAGTCTTCTTCCTCTCTATCACCCTCAGCACTTCGTAATACATTATGTGCTTTATTCTTATTATTGTCACTCAAGCGTGAGGAGTTTGTCTCTTGTATTCAGTTTCTCTCCCTAAGGTTTCAGATCAATGATTGGTACTCAGTAAATATTTGCTAAATAGAATGAAAGCAGACAAGAGTTTTACTGGAACAGAACTTATGTTATAATGGTTATAACTGCTGATGAATTCCTTGCTTCCAAGTCTAGAGGACTATGATTTCTCTGTAAAAAGCAACTTTGTAAATCTTTTTATTGTTGTGTAAAATATACACAGGAAAGGGTATCCTATAAGTGTGTATGTTGTTAAATTTTCACTAACTGAATACCTGTGAACAAATAGCACCCAGAAACAAAAATAACCAGCTTCCATAGAGGCCCTTTAGGGTTTTCTTTCAGTTACAATCAACTCCCTGTCTCTTAAGCCATATCCTGATCTCTAACACCATGAATTGGTTTATGTGGTTTATGTGGCTTAGTATTTTTAAATGAAGGAAATCATACAGTATAAACTTTTTGTTTCTGATGTCTTAACACTGTAAGATTTATCCATGCTGTTGCAAACCTGAGGGGGGGGGGGAACCAATCTTAAGAAACATATTGTTGAAGAGATCTATGTTGACTGATGTCTTAAGAAACATTGTGGGTGCTGTGTTGACAGCAGATTGTGACTAGGGAAGGCAGTAGGAAGCACTGTGATGTGGATTCAAGGAAAGAGAGTAAGGATAAAGCCAATAGGACTCACTGATGGGATGCACATGTGGTATAAGTTCCCAAGGAGGCAAGCATGCAGCCAGTTTCTGGTGTTTGCAATAGGAGGGAGTCATCATACACAGGGGTGGAAACAGGGTTTTGAGGTGCAGGCTTGAACATGAAGATTGAGAGTTCTGTTTTTGTTATTCAAGGTACTTGATGGATGTCCAAGTGGAGTTGTTAGCAAGCAGGTTGCTAATTTGAGTCTGGAGCTAGGTGAGATCTGGTAGAGAAAACTGGTTGGGTGTGTGTTTAAAAAGGAGAGGCGGAAAGAAAATTAAAACAAATATGAGAACAGAAAATTTGTTTCTGGGCATTATGCTGTAAATGGGAGAAGGTATGTGGGGGTCAAGAGGTTTCTCTTGATTTTTGTTTTTGTTAAATTGGGAGTTAATCTTGGCAGTTTCTTGAGAAGAAATTCACTAAGAAAGGGAAATATCCATGGAGATTGTGGGAGACAGCTCTCTTGTCACAGTACTCCCCCACACTTAGAGCAGAGACTCTCCACTAGTATTTTTGTTAGTGAATGACTTTAATGAAGTTACCAAATACCTGTATCAAGAGTGGCCTGAGGCTTTCACATGAAAAGAAAGCACCAGAAGACTTCCTTAGAACTTAAAGTAGAACAAATGTATCCACACTCAGTTATGACAAAGTTTATGGGAAATTTATTATATCTGCTGTGGAGAAAGCCTGCCTCCTGAACCCAACTTGGACTTAAATGTAAAGTCTCCCTGGTTAGTCAAGAAGGCAGGTATCAGTGACACACTGACTCCAACCTCCTGAAAGGGTTTCGCCATATGCTGGTGTCGGGTCACATATGCACCAGGGCTGTGGTTCCTATGGTGCAGCACACAGCAAATTTGAGAGCACAGATTCTCAAGCCAGATGGCTTGGATGGAAAGCGCAGTTCTTTTGCTTATTAGTAAGCAAATAGCCTTGGGCAAGTTATTTAACATCTCTGTACCTGGATTTCCTTGCGGTATTCTGAAATCAATAAAAGTACCTACTCCACAGAATTGTCATAACAGAATGACAGAAATATCATAAGGATTAAATCATGGAATATATATAAACAGAACAGTGTTTAGCTCATGTCACAGGCAGGGAATTAATAAAACCTTTAAGAATGTCAGATTCTGCTTGGCTTTAAAGTCCAGGATTCACCCATTTTTTAAAGATTTATTTATGCATACAGAACTGGGCCAGAGATGCAGAGGGTGAAAGGATTCACCAGAGACAGAGCGGGGAGCAGAACAGTTAGATCGACGAAGTACACTGCTGAGGGGAGCAGCGGGCAGGTCTGGAGAGGTCTGCCCTGCCTTGTGGGTCACCTTTGGGGTAGAGTTAGAACTCATGATGAAGTAGCTTTAGCTTCTTTTCTTAGTGCTGTGCTTTAACCCACTGCGCCATCAAGGAGGGACCCATCCATCTCATTTTTTTTGGACATCCAGGGGAGGTTCCAATAATCTTACTTTCCACTTTCCTCTTGGATCTTGCCGTCTCTTAATTTCACATGCAATATTTTCTAGACCTGTTAGTGCCACACCTTACCTGAACTTTCTTCTGTCTTCCCTGTATGCAGAATGTTCTCCAGTTTAACTAAATCATCTTTTCTTAGACAAAAGTATTTTAGCAAGCTCACCTCAACTAAAGAGGAGCTGTAATACTTGAAGCAATTTGCTTTCTAAGCATACAACGTCTAAGGTTTAACTCCCCAGCAACAATATTTATTCCTTTGTTTATGCTTGTATTAGTCCTCCTTCCTTTCATAATCTTATCTGTCAGAGCATAATTCATTGAGGATAAGACTATGTCCAACTATATTTGGATTACAGGAATTGAGACATAATTTCTTGTTCAAGTTTTCCTGATTAAACTGCTATTAGACCTAAATGGAGTTGCTTTATCTATCTGTGCCTAGTTCTCTATTCTGTAAAATGAATGGGGAGGGACAAAAAATTATGACAATTGCAACTGTCACCACTAAATACTTAACTTTGTTACAGACTCTACCTAAGCTGTTTAAATATATTCAACTATATATATGGATAAATATATATGCACACATATTCTTATATATATATTCATACAAGAATATATATAAGAATACATATTGCTTGTATTTTATATACATATTCTTGTTTATCTTACACCATCCCCATCGGATGGGAGCTGTGATTGTGCCCATGTTAAGAACAAGAGGATACTGAGGCACAGAAAGGTTAAGGAAGCTGTTCCAGGTTAAACAGCAAGTCTGTGGTGAAACTGAGACTCAAACCCAGGTGGCATTATAATCTTAAGATTCTGCACATTTCAGACATGCTTTGGGAACACAGGCTTACCAAAGAAAAGCTTTGCAAATTTAGGGGGTAGTGTTAGGAAATACGACAGTCCCTAAATAGCATATCATGGCTTAATCTATGAGGAAAACACCATCTATCATCTTTTATCCCTAACACCATCTATCATCTTTTATCCTTTTATCCCTAAGAAGAAAGGGATTAGAATATTTTTAAGGTGATAGATCTTAGACTGAGAAAGGATGGGAAAGTAGCTGTAATTTAAGATATTTATCCCTGGAATCTACACATAGTCTGGATAAAGCATGGGCAACCGCAGGGCAGTGAAATGCACTGTCTGTGAGTTGATAATTATTGAAATGGAGACAGAGACTGGTCAAAGGAGTGCACTACATGTTCTTTTTACCTTTAGGGTATGTTTTCCATAAGGAATTTTTTTTTTAATTTAAATGTGAAAACACCACGGACAAAATATTCTACCAAATGCCTCCTAGGAAGATCTGCATCTTGGCTGTGCTGTGTGTATTCCTCCAGCACTATCTCCTAACAGTTGGCCAGAGTGCGAAGTTACCGTCTCCAAGGCTGCCTGCCCTCTTGGCAGTGGGGCGAGTGCCATGATGCAGCTGCTGTTGGCATGCTGAGAGTTGGAAGGGGAGGAATTATAAGGC